AGGTTATCGCTGTTCAAGTAAAGCGCCAGTGGGTTCATGTCATCAGAGCCTTCTTGGGGGTACCGCATAGGGGTCATCCCGGGGGTTGGAGCAGCTACTAGGTATATCGATTGTGGCTGCTGATCTGTATATCCGTAGTTTGGATGCATAGGTGTGAGACCCATACCCGAGGGATCTGGTTGAATACCATGCGACCTTGAACTGTGTAGTGGGGAGGAGCTCTGCGAAAGTGAATTAAAGCGTTGCATAGTCTGCATTGGGTTTTCTGGCAAAGTGCCACCGGAAGTGAGACCCGTTGAGGCCGTGAACAGATTCAAAGGCGATTGACGATAGGAGAAAGGGCCGGAAGTAAGATACTCGGCAGGCAGGTTGGGTGAACATTGTCCAAACTGTAGGTATAAACAAACACAGTTATTATTGGCTACTTACTAATGCAAGTAGGTGTTATTAGAATAGCGTAGACTTTGGAACAGAAACAGACGTACGTGCTCGAATTGGTACTGACTCAAACTGTCCTTTTGGCTACCCGAATCCATGTAGGCTGTGAGAACATGTTGGCCGTTCGCGAAACGTTCTGGATAACAGTCCGCAGTGGGATAGGTATCAATGACACCACACTTAACTAGGCCTGGAAGAAAGGATGATTTGGTGAAAAACGGCACCATGGCGTGTTATTTTCGCGAAAACAACCACAGAAAATATCGGGAGAGGCTTTAGTAAATAGTTGAAGAAGAGGAGAACCTCCATGACCACTAGATGCAGCTTCTATCATGCAAATAGACTAGCAGCCTTGTAGCTGAGAACATTTTAGGCATTGCAACAAAGGAATAGTTTGAAATGCCTGAAGGATCATACGAAACACTCCGTTAGATGACTGAAGTCCGGTCGGAATTTTTTGCGTGGTCTTCACTCGGTTAGACCGAAACCATCAGCTAAAGAAGCACCAACGTGTACAAAGGATGAAGGAGAGTCCAACGGTGCGCCAGTTAAGCACCCATATTTGTAAGAGCACCGAAAATCAGGGGAAAACTCATTCTAAAGAAACGTTTTTATTTTTTACATTTTTGTTTTTTTAAGGCGGTTGGAAAGGAGCTGGTTAAAAAGCTGGCATCCCCAAGTGAATAACAAATCTGGGGGAGGGTGAGTGCTCTACGTTAATTACTATTACAATCGTACTCAAGTAATTTTTTCTAATCAAAACACACTCCAGAATGTCGTTTAAAGTTTCATGAGATGCACGCAGACTTTCGGATGCACGCACATTTTTCCACGCAGTCACGAGCTTCAGAATAAATACAGACACTGCAGTTTAACAGCCAGATTTCAATCGTAAAGAAAATTTTCAGATAACCTTACAACTAAGTAGAGTGTGCTTCTGAAAAAAAACTTATGTGAAAGTTTGGACAAACTAATGGGGG